GAACTCAGCACATCCTCGGGGCTCAGCCCAGCTGGGTCATCTCCCATCCACCCTCTCCAGCTGCTTCCCAGAGGATGTTCCTTGAGGGCCACAGAGTTCATGGATCTGGCCAGGCAGCAGCGTGGCAAAAGGAGCCACAGCTGGGAAGCAGATGAGGGTTTGGGCTCAGCTCCCCTTCACAAGGCTCAGGGGATGAAGGGTGGGTCAGTGGATGGGTTTAAGTAGGGGTCCAAAGATGAAGGGTGGGTCAAAGGATAGGCCTGGAAGACCAAGGATGGGTCTAAGGATGGGTGAGAGGAAGAAGGATGGGCTAAAAGATGAAGGATGGGTCCAATGAGGGGTCCATGCATGAAGGATGGGTCTAAGGATGAGGACAAAGGACAAAGGGTGGGTCAAAGAAGGAAGGATGGATCAAAGCATGGGTCTAATGAGGGGTTCAGGAATGAAGGACAAGTCCAAGGACAGGCCTAAAGATGAAGGAGGGGTCCAAACAGAGGTGAAAGTCTGAAGGATGGGCCAAGGAACAAAGGATGGGTCTAACGAGGAGTCCAAGGATGAAAGGTGGGTTCAAGGACAGGTCTAAAGATGAAGGACAGGGTCTAAGGATGGGTCTAAAAATGAAGAATGGTTCTAAGTACAAAGGAAAAGTCTAAGTAAGGGCCTAAGGATGAAGGATGGGTCTAATGAGAGATCCCAGGATGAGTCCAAGGACAGGCCTAAAGACTGAAGGATGGGTCCAAGGATGATGAATATGTCTAAGCACAAAGAAAAGGTCAAAGTACAGGTCAAGGGATAAAGGATGGGCCAAAGGACAAGGGACAGGTCTGATGAGGGGTCCAGAGATGAAGGATGGGGTCTAGAGCAGGTCTAAGGTGGAGGACGGGCCTAAGGATGGGTCCAAGGATGAAGGATGGGGTCTAGAGCAGGTCTAAGGTGAAGGACAGGTCTAAGGATGGGTTCAAGGATGATAGATGCATCTAAGTACAGGTCAAAGGACAAAGGACTGGCCAAAGGACAGGTCTAAAGAGGGGTCCAAGGATGAAGGATGGGCTCAAGAGCAGGTCTAAGGTGAAGGATGGGTTTAAGGATGGGTCCAAGGATGAAGGATGGGCTCAAGAGCGGGTCTAAAGACGAAGGACAGGTCTAAGGATGGGTCCAAGGATGATGGGGGGTCTAGGCAGAGGTTAAAGGACAAAGGCTGGGTCTAAGGGTAAAGACCACCCACCCCAGGGCAGATCCTGCCTCCAGAGATCCACTGGACTCCCCTTCCAAGGGTTAAACACGCCCTGAACGAGCTGGACTTTCATTCCCCAGCTAATGGGTTTTTAAGGCCTCCCATTCCGAGTTTGTTTCTTCCTGGCTGATGGATAATCATTAACTATCCATGAGAGATTCCAATGGCCCGTGGAATTCATGAGGAATTAAATGGGCATTATATTATCAGCCACTCTCAATGTTTGGTTTCCGTTTCAGGACCGTTCCTGAGATGTTTATGGGTTGTGGATTTATGGAAGCCAGGGGATCTTTTCAGGAGTAATGTTCCGTACCTTGGAGTCACGGTCAACAGCTGGAGACTCCAGGCAGGAAAATTGGAGGCTGGGAGCTCCAAAAAAAAAAACCACAACAAAATTTAACCCCTGCCTCAGAAGGGCTTGGCACACAGAAATGATGGATTAAATGCTGGGAATAAGATGTGAAGCACAATATTCAAAGGAGTTTATGAGCTGTCATCAGGAATCAAGCAGTACATGGTGGCCTTGCTCTGGAGGGGACCCGGTGGCTGCTGCTGCTGTCACAAATAAACGGTGCTGGTTTATTTTCTGTCTGTGCCGAGGTGGAAAAATCCAGGGGGAGCAGCCCCAGAGAACCCTGAGGGCTCCACTCCATCAATCCCAACTCACAGCTCACGGGGAGAGAGATTTCTAATTCTGCCAAAGTCACCCCAGAGCCCATTTCACCCTATCCTGAGCTGGGCAGGAGAAAAAGGGACTTGGGACAAGGGACAGGACACAGGGAATGGCTTCCACTGCCAGAGGACAGGGCTGGATGGGATATTGGGAAGGAATTGTTCCCTGGCAGAGTGGGCAGGCCCTGGCACAGGGTGCCCAGAGCAGCTGTGGCTGCCCCTGGATCCCTGGCAGTGCCCAAGGCCAGGTTGGACATTGGGGCTTGGAGCAGCCTGGGACAGTGGAAGGTGTCCCTGCCCATGGGCCAAAGGTGGGACAAGATGGGCCTTAAAGTCCCTTCCCACCCAAACCATTCCATAAATCAGCCTGAGGGACACCAGCCTCTCTCTGGGAGGGTCTCTGAAGGGTCCTTGCAGAGAACAGGCAGGATGGGGTTAAATCTCCACCCCAAATCACTCCAGGAGATCCCACCCAGCATTTGGGATCTCCAGGAGGGTCCTCAAACTCTCAGCTCCCCACGCCCAGCCCCTCCTTCCGTGCTGGAACAGGACATGGGGAACAGAAAGCCTCAACCCAAAGCAGCCCAAGAGTCCAGGGGCACAACTAAAACCAGAAGGGGTTGATCAGGGAAGGCTCCAAATTCTCTTCCAGGGATGAGCTCCTCCTGCAGGAAGCAGAGAAGGCTCAGACTTCAGGGACACCATGGAACAGTGACATTGAAAAAACTCCCATCCTCAAATTCCATGGCCACAGTCATAAAATAACAATTAGCTGAGAAGGGCCTGAAAATATTTCAATTTTAATCCACTTTTATCTGTGCCAGGCATTTTCCACCTCATCCAAGCTAATAAACAGCTCCCACTCCAGCAGGGCTGTGCTGGAAAAAAAAGAGGGAAGAAAGAAGAAGCTGCCTCTTTAATGCACTAATTACAATCCCGAACCGCTAATGGGATTAGCAGGCAGGATTTAGTGGTTGTCTGCTGCAAAATCATTAAGTGCCATTAGAGAAAATGAACTTCCCTGCTTCTCCAAGAGGTTTGCAGGAATCCGGATCCAACCCAGCGCAGCAGCCCCTGGAGCACAATGGGGTCCTGTCAATATTGGCTCTTTCCTTGATTAATTCCCTAATCAGGAGTTGAAATTGCCCAGCACCACTGGGAAGAGAGCACTGGAGGCACTGGGAAAACTGGGAAAACTGGGAAAACTGGCTGCAGTCAGGCAGAGGGATCATGGAATGGGTTGGGTTGGAAAGGACCTTAAAGCCCATCCAGTGTCACCCCTGCCATGGGCAGGGACACCTCCCACTGTCCCAGGCTGCTCCAAGCCCCAATGTCCAACCTGGCCCTGGACACTTCCAGGGATCCAGGGGCAGCCACAGCTGCTCTGGGCACCCTGTGCCAAGAAGGTGGGGAGTGATGAAGGCAGAGGGGACACCACTGTGTTTGTGTCACCCCGTGTGACATGTCCATCCCATCTCCACACTGGGGAATCAGTGGCCAGAAGATTTGATGGTGTCCAAACCTGGCCCCAGCTCCGTGTCAGGGTGACCATGAGGGCTGGAAGGTGTCCCTGCCCTTGGAATGAGATGAGCTTTAAGGTCCCTTCCTGCCCAAACCTGCATTCCTTCCATCTTTGCCTGACTGCAGGCAGTTTTCCCAGCATTCCTGGGAAATGTTCTCCCTTCCTGGTGGTGCTGGGCGATTTCAACTCAGGATCATCAGGGAATATCCAATGACCAAACAGGGGAAACTCTGCCCTCAGTGAGAGCTCCTCCAGCTGAAGGCAAGCATGGATTGGGGGCTGGAATGGTGACAAAAGGAGGAGAAGGGAAAGGCTGCACCCTGGGGACACGGGGATGCTCCCTGGGAATGCGGGGGTGCCCCTGGGGACCGAACAAAGCAAACACTTTTTTTCCAGTGCCTAAGCACGAGGGGGAGGGCGGCCTTCCAGGAGGCATTTCCCAGCTGAAATGGCTTTGTTCCCAAATGCTAAAAGCCTTTGGAGACCAAAAATTCCCAGCTCAGAGGAAAAGGAGGGTGGATGGTCGGCCTCAGCTCATGCAATGATGGCTGCCACAGCCCAGGGGACAAGTGACACCGCCATGCTGAGGCCACCAGACACATCTGCCACCCCCAAAGCCACTCTGGTCCCCTGTGCCCCAGCACGGGGAGCTCCAGGGCAGGCACTGGGAGCACTGCTGTGGATTTAACCCTTGCCACGTCCCAGCTGGAGCTGCCCAAACATCACGGACAGGCCGGAGGGTCTGTGCTGTGCCACGGCATCCGTGCTCCCTCCACAGCCCTCAGGCGACTCTTCCCAGGACCCTGGCACGGTCTTTTGATCCTCAAGAACCCCAAATTTTGGGACAAAAAGAGCAGTTTGTCCCGGGATCCTGTTTTGGGAGCCAGCATGGACCAGCTCCAGGTCAGGGAGAGGAGGTGATGTCCCAAAGTGGCCACCACTCCCCTCTGCCACCCCATGCCACGGCAGGAGAAAGGTTTTCCGAGTAGGGCCACCAGAAAGGGATGGAGAGGGAATGTGGTGATGCCAGGGAATCCTTTCCCTGCGCAGCAGCAGCCTCTGCCGGCAGCGGAGCCGCAGAGCAGGAGCAGCGGGGATGTGGCAGAGCCCGGAGAGCGCGCTCCGAACACGGCCAGGGATGGGAAAGATCCCAGGGGGTGTCCAGGACATCAACTGTCCCCTCCATGAGGATTTATAAATCCCGACATCCACTTTTCAGCTGGAACGTGATTATTCTCATCTCTCTCCAGCGTGCACTCGCTCCCCCGCGCAGTTCTCGTGGCCATTCCCGTGCAGCAGCTGGAAAATCCAAAAATCCAGCTCTCCTATCCCACATTCCTGCATGCCGGGGTTTTGCCACCTAACAATCCTGGAGCCCCTGGGTTCTCGCCGCGCACCCCAAAATGAGATGGGGGGAAGCAGAACCATCCCAACAACATCCCCGCCGCAAAAAGGAATTTCCACACGAAACCCCCAGACAAGACACGGACATTTAAGGATAAATGCGCTTTTCCCGAGGCGCTGGGACGAGGCGTGTCCCCCCAAAATCCCAGCACCCGGGGCACCACTTACTTGGGGGTGTGCGCCTCATCCACGCGGTGCCCCAGCTGGAACTCGTGGGATTTGCTGCGGTGCAGCGCCGTGAATCCCGGGATGAGGTGGATCAGCTTCCGCGAGGAGGGCGGGGGGGTCCCGGGGGGCTTCAGTTTGTTCCTGCGGCGCACGGGGGGGGTCCCCGGCGGGGTCATGGTGGTGACGATGTTGGGGGTGCGCGGGGGGGTGTGCGCGGCGTGGCGCTGCCGCGGGGACGGCGGCAGGGAGCGGTGGCCGGATTCCAGGGGTGGGCACAGCCCCGGGTGGCCCTCCACGGTCAGGCGGTCCACGTGGGTGTACACGGGGCCGTGGGACGAGCCGGCGTGGCAGTGGTGCTGCCCGCACTTGGGCTGAGCCTTGGGGCTCGGGTGCGTCCTGCCCCAGGGTCCCGGCTCCGCCGCGCAGCCCGGGCTGTTCTCCTTGCCCGGCTCCGTGCTCGGCCACTGGATGGTCCAGTCCTGCTTGGAGAGGCTCCCGCCTGCAGAGAGCACAGAGACGCGGCCATGAGGCGGGGAAGAAGTTTGGAATTCCCTGCTCAGCCCTGGAGGGGTTAAAGATGCCATCCCTGGTGGGGCTCGGAGCAGGGGGGTTTAAGTGGAAGGTGCTGCTGGCCCGTGGAATGAGATGATCCTAAAGGTCCCTTCCCACCCAAACTATTCCATGATTGGTTCTATCCCAGCAAGGAGCTTCTCTGTGTTACAGAATCTTGGAATGGTTTGGGATGGAAGGGGCATTAAAATCATCTGTCCGTGGGCAGGGACACCTCCCACTGTCCCAGGCTGCTCCAAGCCCCAGTGTCCAACCTGGCCTTGGACACTGCCAGGGATCCAGGGGCAGCCACAGCTGCTCTGGGCACCCTGTGCGAGGTCCTGCCCACCCTGCCAGGGAACAATTCCATCCCAATATCCCATCCAGCCCTGCTCTCTGGCAGTGGAAGCCATTCCCTGTGTCCTGTCCCTCCATCCCTTGTCCCCAGTCCCTCTCCAGCTCTCCTGGAGCCCCTTTAGGCCCTGGAAGGGGCTCTGAGCTCTCCCTGGATCCTTCTCCTCTCCAGGTGAGCACCCCCAGCTCTCCCAGCCTGGCTCCAGAGCAGAGGGATGCGTGGCCTGAACGTCACAGGGATTCCCATTGGATCATCCAGTGCCACCCCTGCCATGGCAGGGACACCTCCAGGGACACCTCCCACTATCCCAGGCTGCTCCAAGCCCTGTCCAGCCTGGCCTGGGACTCTTCCAGGGATGGGACCCCCGCATCTTCTGTGGAGCCCTCACCACTCCCAGCACGGGATTTGCCAGGGCTGGAGGTGTCCCCACGTGTCCCCAACATCCCCAGCTCCCAAATGGTGGCACTGGGACGGTGACACCCCCGGGACAGTGACACCCCTGGGACAGTGACACACCTGGGACAGTGACACCCCCGGGACAGTGACACCTCCCTGGGACAGTGACACCCCTGGGACAGTGACACACCTGGGACAGGTTTGGGAAATGAAAGGTTTGGGTTGAAAATAAAGCTTTGAGTCGAGGGCTGGAGGATGGGGCGGGAGCAGTCGCTGCAATCATTTTCTCAGAGCTGAACGTCAAAATAAAGGATAAAAAAAAAAAAAGCCCAAATAATTGTAAAATATGAAAAAATTATAACTAAAATATGAAAAATTAACATTAAAATATGAAAAAATAACAGTAAAAATTCCCAAATAACTGTAAAATATTTTTTAAATAACAATAAACAATTTGCAAATAATTGTAAAATATTTTTTAAATTATCAACCAAAGAATAAAAAGAGAAAATAATATTACAATTTTGAAAATCAATAAGAAAGTAAATAAAATAATAATTTTTTTTAGGAATTAAAAGTAAATAATTAGAATAAAATAGAATTAAAATAATAATTAAAATGTTTTAAATTAAAATTATTCAACTGAAATTAAAAAGAAAGCAAAATAAATAAAGTAAAAGTCAGAATTAAAAACTCTTTAAAAAAGCAAATTAATTAGAATGAAGAAGTACAAATAAATTAAGGAAGTAGAAACATTATAAATTAAAATTAATTAGAATGAATAAGAAGTACAAATAAATTGAAGAAGTAAAAATGTTATAAATTCAAATTAATTAGAATGAATAAGAAGTACAAATAAATTGAAGAAATAAAAATGTTATAAATTAAAATTAATTAGAATTAATAAGAAATTAAAATAAAATAAAAATAATAAATGTTTAAAAATAAAATAATTAATTAGAACGACGAATAATTTAAAATAATTGAAACTAAAAATAAGTATGATAAAAATATTTACCAAAAAAATTTTAAAACATCTGAATAATCTCAACGTATGCAAATCATCGCATCCCTATGCAAATCCTGCTCTTCCCATTGGCCTCTTGATTTGCATAACGCCGAGCCGGCCCGGCGCTAATTAGCGGCGTTAATGAAGATGGGGTGAGGATCTCCCTGTGCCCCCCGTGTAATAAAATGAAATAAAAATGAAAATAAAAATAAAATAAAAATTAAAATTAAATAAAAATAAAATAAAATAAAAGATAATGAAATGAAATGAAATGAAATGAAATGAAATGAAATGAAATGAAATGAAATAAAATAAAATAAAATAAAATAAAATAAAATATAAAATAAAATAAAAACAAAAACAACCTGCCGTCCGGGCTGAAAACAGAGGGGGAAAAGCCGAGGAAAAGAAATTCCATCAGGGAATCATTGATGGGATCAGCACCGAAGAGGAGACAAAAAACCAACAAAAATATCCCAAAGCTCCTCGTGCTCCTCGGCTGCTGGATGCCGCTCCCTCCCCATTCCCAGCTGGAAAACCTCGGGAAGAGCTGGCACGGAGGGCAGAGCTCGGATTGCTCCTCACATCTTGCTTGTTTTGTTTCCATCCCAAATATGAATTTTTTTATTTTTTTTTTTATATCAGCCACAGCCAACCCCCAGTCCCACGGGCCACCTCTCCTGTCCCTTTGGATGGATTTGGCTTCAGGAATTCCCTCAGATCCCTCTCCCCACCCCATTTCATCAAGGAAACTTTTCCCAAACTGGAAACTCCTGGGAAGAGTTTGCAGCCCATGGATCCAGAGATGGAAAAATTCCACCTTTTCCAAACAACAAAGAGCAAGGTTTGCTTTGTTCTCCTTCAAATAAAAGGCTGGGAATAATTGGATATTCCCATGGGAGCCTTGAATCCCAGCTGCTCCTTCCCTTCCCAAAAGCTGATCCCAGGTGAAAGGAAAGGA